TGAACTCTTTAATACCTACTTGGACGGGGAACATCGCCCTAAGATTTCAGCGTTCTAGCTTCTCAGATCCCTGAGTTATGAACTTACCCCAAAAAAACTTTGGCGGGCTCGTGCGCGGGTACCACGCGGGTGATGGCGCCTATTCCCGAAATTTCAGTCCTGCAGCTTTTATAGGTCTTGAGATGAAAATGTGTGAGAGACGCACATGCAGACACACGGACATACAGACAACCCCTCGTCAATATGCGTTTTTGCATTGCATAGCTGCAAAAAATGCATAATAAGTGCTTTACGATGCGAATTGGGGAAAAACACAAACAAAAGGTAAAGCTACTGAGCTTAATGGAAAATAATTCTATCTTCCCGTCTTATTTACTGCAGAGAGGAAGGAATGTAAAAATATCATAGTAATAAGCTTTGTTAACAAAAATTGCCCACTGACGGAGCTATTGATTGTTCCCTATTCCGGCGACCAGCCTGAGAATCAAGCTTGCCAGTGTTATTTACTATTAAAATGCACTAATAAGTAGTGGAGGGACTGGTTTCCTGACTGATGCATTCAAATCAAAGTTCGAGCAAACGGCAATTATTGTTATTGCCAGGCTCTCAAGGTTAGTACCTTTGTTGCAGGTATGAGCAGTATGCTTTCCACCGTCCGGCGCTATCATTTTCTCTGCGTTGCCGTGATCGGCCGTAACCATTAGAATGTAGCCATTTTTCTTGCATGCCTCATAGATTCGTCCAATCGCAGTGTCTAGAAAAACAACCAAATAACAAATGAAAACAATATTCTGCGAAGTCCCGATTTTCTTTTGCCTCTTTTTTTGCGAAAGATGCTCCCTAAATCGCAAAAAAATTAACAGGTTAGAGAAACTCACCGGTTGCTTCAACGGCTTTAACGGCGGCTTCATAGATACCAGTATGGCCGACCATATCGGGTGGAGCGAAATTGCACATTATGAAAGGATGTTTCTTTGCATTCAGCTGTTCCACCATCTCAAAAAAAAAAAAAAATATTTCGAACCATTTTCGTTTATTGAAAAATTTTCATCGCCAAACTTGAAATATCATGTTAAGAACTGACTTTTCACTCTACGATGACCTAGCAAAATTTTCAAACAACCCGCTCTTTGACATTAAAAAAAAAATCACCTTATCAGCCACACCAACAGAACTCATTGGTGGTTGCAGATCATAAGTAGCCACTTTCGGCGACGGTACAAGACAGCGT